TAGTGTTCCCTTAGAGAAGGGTTAACGGTACGACAGTGGTCCTTGTCTCAGCCTGTTTTTTGCTGCCTTTACAATCTGATGTGCTTGAGCTTTGCTTGTCTTGTTTGAAATAATTCACTTTTCTTATTGCATTTCAGGTCTCCTATCCACGGCCGGGGTCTGTTCTGCAAAAGGAACATCGATGCAGGTGAGATGGTGATCGAATATTCAGGCAATGTCATTCGCTCCATCCTCACTGACAAACGAGAGAAATACTACGACAGTAAGGTGAGTTTTGGGCTTTTGCAGATGTTCTTAAAGAGTTTGGGAGAGCTAGAAAGTGGCTGTGAAGGTAGGACAGGCCTATATGAAAATTCTGTGGGGACATCTCAGATTGTGCTTGCTGACTTCTTGGGTTATTCTCATTCTAGCTGCAGCTTTAGAGGCACTTTTCTTTCCCTTCTGTGGTCTGGGCAGGGTCTCAGATTAGTGTCAGTGAGCGTGGGGATGAAATGATTCAGGCAGGGGTGTGAGAGAGTGGCTGCAGACACTCCCCCAGAGCTGGGCTGTGTGCTGGGGCGGCTGTGCTGCCCTGCCTGCACTGACCCTCCTGTGTCCCCCCTGCCCAGGGCATCGGGTGCTACATGTTCCGCATCGACGACTCCGAGGTGGTGGACGCCACCATGCACGGCAACGCGGCCCGCTTCATCAACCACTCCTGCGAGCCCAACTGCTACTCCCGGGTCATCAACATCGATGGCCAGAAACACATTGTCATCTTTGCCATGCGCAAAATCTACCGAGGGGAAGAGCTCACCTATGACTATAAGTTCCCCATTGAAGACGCCAGCAACAAACTGCCCTGTAACTGCGGTGCCAAGAAGTGCAGGAAGTTTTTAAACTAGAACTTCCGTCAGCTGCAAGTGAGCCCTGCAGGGCCTGGGGTGAACCAAAGCTTCGAGTGAGCCCCTCCCGGCCACTCGGACGGGACAGAGAGGCCGGCAGCAGGAGTGAAGATGGACTGGGCTCAGGGACCTGAGACTGGCGGCTGTGTTTGTCCGAGTCCACATCTTCATGTCTCGCATGTGCACACTCACCCTTGTGAGAGACATGGGCGGCTGGAGAAGATCCTCAGCATGGTTATGTTTTTGCTATTCTCATTTCCCCCCGCCCCCATATTTGTTTCTCAGTGTGGGGCTAATGAGTGGAGAGGAGAGGGGAGGTTACCCCAGGCCCAGGCACAGGGCAGCAGTTGTGGGTCATGTCCCTCTCTGTCTCCTGACCAGAGCTCTCCTTCCTAGGGCTGAGTCAGTGGTTGGGTAGTGCAGCGTTTGAGCTTGCCTCCTGGGGAGAAGGTCTGTGCCTCACAGCAGCCCCTGGGGACTGCAAGTGTGTGGAACACTATGTGTGAGTGGGAGTAGGTGTGCGGGGGGCTGGCTTGGCTGCTCGTGAGGAGAGCAGAAAAGAGCAGCTCACAACTAGACACAAGAAGAGTTAGGCTGACGTACTGCTCTGAAATCCCTGCCTGAGAGCAGGGGAACTCCTGGCATTCTTTGGCAAAGAGGGCTTGTGCCAGCAGTTGGGGCACTGTAAATCTTTGCCAGCAAAGGCTCCCATTCACCAACACTCCCTCTGTGGCCATGTGGGAGGGAAGTGGTCCTCTGGGTCCTGTCTCCAGCAGCTGGCTTCCTCCTGCGTCCAGCGAGCTCCTGGTGCAGCCAGTGGTGTCTCGAGGAACCCGACAGAGGTTTCCAGAGGGAGGAGGGGAGCGTGAGCCAGCCCGGCCTTGGCCGCGCACGGTTTAGAGCAGGAGCTGGGAGGGACTGAGGCACCCACGCTGCTCTGCCGTGCCAGTGTCCCAGCCTGTGGGGCTGGCAGGAGAGTGGCCCTGCTGCCAGGTGCCTGTCACGGTCACTTGTCTGGGTGTAGTCATGATGTGTTCCCCAGAAGACACAGAAGGACACCAAAACGGAGCCAAAGTTCTCCGCAAAGGCCAGGCCAACGCATAGGAAACACGGGAGGCATGGGCACAGGGGATGAGGAGCCAGGCCAGCCCGAGCAGGTTGAGGGACACCACTGTCCTGGTTGGAGCAGTGGGAGTCCTCCTCCCATGGGGTCTGCCCTGTGCCTCAGAGCAAAACCAGAGAGAGACAAATGAGAGACCCAAGCCTGACAGTGACAACATTGGATTCTGCTCTGTTCTGTTTACAGTTTAGTATTTAAGGTTTTATAAATGTAAATATATTTTGTATATTTTTCTATGAGAAGCACTTCATAGGGGAAAGCACTTATGACGAGGCTTTTTACAGTGGTATTATCCTAATTTAAGAGAATCTCTTTTTAATGATTTTTTTATTTTCATAGGATGGTTCTAGGAAATACCTGGCTGGACACAGTCTGAGCCTTTCTCCAGTGGGGGGGTTGCTTTAGTTTTGTTTTCTACTCTTGTTCTGCCTTTTTGACTTCAGTAACTGTCTCCGGGAGGGTTGACTGGACCTTAAACTGTATTTGCCCATAAGGATGGGGGCAGGAGGGAGAGCTGCCCAGCATGGTATGAGTTTTGCTCTGTGGGAGGACAGTGTGTGACTCGGGCAGATAGTTTGATTCTGCCTTATCCGTGCTGGTATCCTGCAAGGGTTTAAAAAGGAAAAGAAGGCAGGATGAGACCTGACCCTCAACACCTCTTTGCTGGGAGGCCAGTCTGAGACACACACCTCCTGCCACAGTCTGTCCTTCAAAGGCAGATGGGTTTTCCTGTGCAGAAGGGAAAGCAGAAGGCGCCCTCGCTTTTCCGAGCTTTCCTGGTGGTTGCAGTTGTTGCAGGAGCCACTCTTCCCGGAGCTGGTGTGTCCGAGGGCTGCTCTGAACCAGCACTGGCAGTTGGTGGGGACGGGGCCGGGAGTGCCTGCTGACTCCCCAGGTCTCTGAGGGGCATCCCCCATCCACGCCTCTCTGGTCTTGAGGCTTCTTCCTCTGCCCTGAGAAGGAAAAGCAGCGCTTGGAGGTTCAGAACCTGCCGATTTCCTTTTGTTATTGCACTGTGTGAGGATAATTTGTTGGTAACTGTTGAAAGCAAAGTCACGTTGAGGCTGCATTTGTTACTGAGATGATTTGATGCACTGACAGTTTGGGAACGCACATACTTCGAGGAGCCCAGAGAGTGCCCACCCAGGGGACCTGGGCCCCGCGGCCCGGAGCACGGCTGCTCTTGGCCCTTTTCCTTCCGTTTCTGACGCGGGGCGGGGGCATAGCCCTCGCCGTGGCAAAGCCCCTGAATTTATCCCAGAGCTCAGCTACGCTTCCTCACCCCCGCGCTGCTGCCGCCTCCCGATTCCCTGGCTGCAGGAGGAGGTTCCACCGGGAGCGCTGCCCAGAGCCAGCCCGGGCGGGGAGCGGGGGGAAGGAGGGTCGAGGGGAGCGCTGTGCCTCACGAGTCCCAGGACCCAAGTGCCAGGCACCCTCCTCCCGCCGGGACCAGCCGAGCCAGCGGGCTGCCCGCTTTGCTGCTATTCCCGATGCGGCTGCCTCGGCAGGAGCCGCTGTGGCCAGTGAAACTGTCTGTACCCCCGGGGAGCTGCGCCCCGGGGGCAGCCCGGGCTCGTGGGGCAGCAGGGCTGGGGCAGCCTGGGCAGCTGAGCCTGCCCGCCCTCAGCCCGGGCTGGCCAGGAGCATCCCGCTCCCCGTGTATGAATGTATATTTTATAAGGACTGACGCAGATCATGGTATCTGAAAATACTAAAAAAAGGAACCTTAGGGCGTTTTTGGGTTTTTTTTGTACAAACCGACATGTTTTTTTTAAAGGAGAAGCGGGTCATTGCAAAGGGCTGGGTATCTTTTTTTTTTCTGGTTTTCTTTCATTTCAAAGCAATACCAAGTTCTTTAGCAGGACGGTCTGTGCAGAATCATGCCATTCACCCATACACTGGTCCACTCTCAACACTTGCAAATTTTTTTATAACTATAAATACAATATATATAGGAACTAATATAGTAATGCACCGTGTAATGAAGCCTAGTTCAGTATCGGTTCATGGCTTTTAATTCTCTTTAACACTATAGATAAGGATTGTGTTACAGTTGCTCACAGCTCCAGGAAAGCCTTGCTGCTCATTCCCCACTGGCAGCCAGGGCCGGCAGCTGGGAGCGGGTGGTTTGGCCTTTCCTGGCCCTTCTTGTTACAGTCAGTACTTGTACAACTTGGTTTCTTCCTTTCCTTCCTCTCGTTTTGGTTATGAATGTTGGGGTACCACCTACATATAGGGAAAAATGTGCTCTGTGCTTTCCTGGTATCTTTTTAACAAGGTACAGTAGCTTCGTCTATCGGCCGAGAACTATACTTGTGGTGTTTCTTTTATTGAACTTACAGTCTCTTTAGTAACTACAGGTAGGTGAATAATTGTTTCAAAAAAAAAAAAAGAAAAAAAAAAAAGCTCTGCAAAGGCAAGGTTATGTTCTAGAAATACATTTCTTGACAACTTATCATGTATAACAAAACTTTTTTTTTTCTTGTGTTCTTCCAATCTACTGGTTGTTTGTTTTTTTGGTTTATTTGGCTTTGATTTTTTGGGTTTTTTTAAAAAAAGAGGAAACGTGTCTAAAGTACATCAGTGTTAACTCCCTGCCACAGGGAAGAAGGAAATACTTTAATAGTTTAAAAAAATGCTGAAAGCTCTGCAAAAGACTGAATGTAAAAATAAAAAGTGTACATAGTTGTAAAAAAAAAAAGGAGTTTTTAAACATGTTTATTTTCTATGCACTTTTTTTTATTTAAGTGATAGTTTAATTAATAAACATGTCAAGTTTATTGCTGCAGAGGGCTCTCTCCATTTCTTCTTGAGAACTGAGAAGCTGCTCCTTCTCCAGGACACTCCCAAGGCGTGGGAGCCCCTGGCCAGCAGCAGGGGCTGCACAGGGGGTTCGGTGTGTGGGGGTCACCTTGTGCCACTGCTGGGGGCCCTGGCCAGACGGCGGGGCCTCACGCCCAGGCTGCCATAGGACGAGGCAGGGTGAACATTAACTGGGCTGTGGCCGCCTGCTTGTGCCCTGTCACGGGCCTCAGTGACACAGCAGCATGGCCACAGCCAACGACAGGGCTGTCCTGCAGACCATCTTTAACCCCAGCACCCCTTTTGGGGACATCCCAGGGCTGGATGAGGAGGAGGAGGATGTCCAGGACGAACGTGAGTGATGCTGCATCAGGTTCTGGCTGGCGTTGCCAGCAGGGTCCCCACGGGGCAAGCAGGTGGGCAGGGAAGGAGGCTCTGCAGGCTGGGAGCAGTGCCTGCTTGAGGCCGGACATCAGCACCCTGCCTTGTGTCTGCTCCTTCTGGACAGGGAGTGTAGGGTGGCAGCGGGACTGGGCCCCGTGGGTCGCCCTGGTGCCTCCCCTTCCCAGTCACGGTCTCCCGTTTACACTGCAACAGTGGAAGCTTTTCCCTTGGAGCTGCTGGATCAAGTCCGGGAGCTGGAGCTGCAGGGGGTTTCTGCGGCGGAGTCCGGAGACCTAAGCACGGCCCTGGAGCGGTTCAGCGAGGCCATCCGCCTGCTGCCCGAGCGCGCCTCGGGCTACAACAACCGGGCGCAAGCGCTCCGCCTGCGCGGAGACGTGGCAGGTGAGCGCCGCGGGCGCGGCTGGTCCGCGGCAACCCCCAGCCCCTACCAACGCCTCCCCTCGCCGCCAGGTGCCCTGCAGGACCTGGACGCTGCCATACGGCTGAGCCGCGGCCGCGGGCGGGCCGCCTGCCAGAGCTTCGTGCAGCGCGGCCTCATCCACCGGCTGCAGGCGCGGGACGAGGAGGCGCGGCGGGACCTGGAGCGCGCGGCGCGCCTGGGCAGCGCCTTCGCCCGGCAGCAGCTCCGGCTCCTCAACCCCTACTCCGCGCTCTGCAACCAGATGCTCGGCCAGATGCTGGCCCGGCTGCGCAACCCCGACGGAAGCGGAAGCGACTGAGACGGGCAGGAATGGGCCGGGCAGCGAGTGGGCTGGGTGCCGCCGTGCTCCAGACCTGTCCTGGTGGCCAGAAAAGGTCCACCTCAGGTGCCAGAGATCCTGCTCCTCCTCCTGGCTAGCAGCCAGGGACTGGAAAGTACCAAAGCAGCTTGCTGTATCTGTCTCGCTATGCTCCACCCCGAATAAAGCTCCCTCTGTTCCCAGCGCCCGGGCTCTGCTTGTGACACTGCAGGCACTGAGGTGTGATTCCCAGCCCGCTGAGATGGGTGCCGCGGTGGGTGCAAGGCCGGGCTCTCCTCCTTGCGGAGGGGAGATGGGAGGCGCGGGGATGCGCATCCCCCGTCCCGGCCGGGCAGCTCGGGCCGCTCGCAAGCGGCGGGACCGACCCGCGGCTGCGCGCAGCGACCGCGCCCGGGGACGGCGGCGGGGCCCGGCCCGAGGCGGGGATGAGCGCTCGCAGCCGGGCTGGGGCCCGCCCCTGCGCCGCATGCACTGCCCTGCGTGCCGGGCCGGGCGCAGAGCCGCACTGCAGACCGGGCTGGACACGGCAGCAGCGATGCTGCAGGTAAGGTGCAGCTGGGCCGCATCCTCCCACCCTGCTGGGGCCCAGCGTGCCGGACGCCCCCACGGCCCTGCTCTAGCTGCCTCTCTCCTAGCGCTGAGCACGGCTGATGTAACATGGGGAGTCCCAGCGGCTGGCCGGGGGCTGCCCCTGCCCTCCTGCTGCTCCTGCTGCTCAGCCTCCTGGCGCTCTGCTTGGCAGGTGAGGCTGTGGTGGGGGCCGGTGCATGACTGCCAGAGCAGGAGCCCTGCCGCAGCTCTGATGGGCGGTGGGCTCTCCGGCAGCACTGGAGGAACTGGAGCCCAGCAGTGGCAGGCAGCCGCGAACAGTGTGCACCCTGCAGGAGGGGGAGAGTCGTATCTTCACCTGCTGGGCTCCCCGGCCAGCCCCCGGTGCCACACTGGCCTGGTACCTCAACGGTGAGAGACAGGAAATCAACCTCTCGACTGCAGACACTGCCAGCGTCCTCACCCTCACCGGCCAGCGCTCCGACCACCAGCTCAACTGCTCCCTGACCCTCCCGACCTCCAGTGAGACCTACAACACCTCCATCCTTCTCAATGTGCAGTGTAAGGTCCGCGGTGCCGGCCTGCTCCAGACTGGGATGTGGGGAGGGCGTGTGGGGCTCCCATCCAGCTCGGGCAGGACCATAACCTGCACCCATCACAGCCATAGCAGGGCAGCATCTTGTCAGCCCTGTGCAAACGAGGTAGACAAGTGCTCCTGGACCCAGGCGAGACAAATCCTGCTCGAGCCGTGCTGTCCCCATCCCTCTCCCCGTCTCACTGCCTGTTTTTTACCCAGATAATCCAGAGGCCCTGCGGGAAGGTGCTCACCACCAGCAGGCTGAGGGCGCTGGCCTTCTCCTGGTGCTCTTTGTGCTGGTGCAAGCCAACCCACCTGCCAGCACCACCTGGGTGGACCAGGATGGGCATGTGATGGCCAACACCTCCAAGTTTCTCCTCCTGGGTACCACAAGCTACCCAGGGCTGGCCAACCACTCACTCCACATCCATCTCAGCTGCACAGCTGGAAACCTCTCCATCAGTGCAGCCAACAGTGTGGCCATCACCACTGCCTCCCTCCTGCCCACAGGTAACTGCTGAGGGGTGGGCATGGTGCAATGGCCCCCTGGAAGGATGCTGAGGGGTCTGCACTGCCGGTGCAGGTCTGCTGGATGCCCGTGTGGAGCTGCCTGTCCTGGGTGTTGCCGTTGGAGCAGCCCTGGCTCTATCTGCCCTGCTCAGCCTGGGCTCCTGTGCTGCCTGCCTGGCATGCCGCTTGCCCAAGCTTGCGCGAGGTCCAGGGCAAGCAGGAGGGAACAGCCTGCCCAGCCAGTGCTCCCACTGCAGCAGCTCTGAGCCCCCGCAGCCCCAGGGCACACGTCTGCCCCGCCAGACCCAGTCCCTGCCACCCAACCTGCGCCTCAGTGACCTTGCACAGGAAGATGGAGGTAAAACCCTGATGTGCCAGTGCAGTGAGACATGTGGGGCCCCAGGTCCTGCTGGGTGAGGGATAGGTGTCCTGGCTCCCATTCCTTTGCTTCCCTGCAGCTTCCCCCAAGGACGCAGGAGCCAGTGCTAGGGGAGAAGAACGTGCCCTGCTGGGGCTGGAAAACTCCCTGGTCCTCAGCAGGCTTGGTAAGGGGAGCAGGTGGGCAAGCAGCCCTGAAAGATGTGTTGTGGGACATGGAGCTCCGTGGCTGCCCCAACAGGCAATGAGTTCTTTGTCCTGCAGGTTTTGTCCAGCTCCCAATGTCTGGGCGCATCTACAAAGTGCCCAGCACGAGCAGTGATGAGATCTGGCTGTGAGCTGCAGCGTGGTGCCCGTGGGCCAGGGCTGCCTGCACCAGGCACGTGCCAGCCCTGGGGCTGGGCAGCTGAGGGTGCCAGGAAGGCTGTGATGGGAAGCAGCAGCTGACCAGCCCCAGCTCTGTGCTGTGCAGGGCTTGGGAGCTGCACTGTCAGCCAAGGCATGGTTTTATGTAGCCCTGAACTTTACCGATATTTTGTTATAATCAAAATGCATCAAAACTGTTCCTAGCCAGGCTCCAGCACTGTGATTCCTCTTGGGGCAAAGCCAAGCACCAGCTTTGCTTTAGCAGTCTGTGACTCGCTGCATGATCCTCTTTGCCCCTGTCCCTGCTGCTGTGGCAGACAGGTGGGATGTCAGTGGAGCAGGGGCTGAGGAGAGCCCTCCCAACAGCAATAAACTGAATTCAATCATCTCTGTGGTGCTGCACAGGTTATTTCTGCTTGACAGGACCTAAGGGACTGTTCTCAACAGGAAACGGGGTTCAATAATAAGGAGCAGAGGAGATTCAAGATCTCCAGATCAGAGCTTGCAACACCCCAAGCAGATCTGAGTGTTGTGTCTGTGGAATTCATTCCTGTTTGCTCCAGCCCTTATAGTGTGTGCTCAAGGAGCCTCTGCTCTGCAGCACCTGTGGCACAGAGAGCCTGACACTGGGAAAGGCTGGTTTAATGCTGAACTCCTTGGGAACAAGACAAAAATTGAGCCATTAGGCAGCTTCTGAAACAAATATGATGAGTCAAGCCCTACTCCCTAACACAGAACAGCCCAGCAATGTCTCTAAGATCAGAGAGGCTTCTGATTTGCTGTGTGGTATCTCCCAACCTGCTCTGGGCACACCTCAGAGTCCAGTGGCAGACAGTGATCCAGGAGATGAGGCTTTAATGTGTAGCATCAATTAAAGCTCAACACCTCTGCCTCCGCTGCTTGTGAGGGTGGGTTGGACGGTGGGCTCCTGCCCTTCTGCCCATCAGCCAGGGGCTTGAAGTGCTGCAGGGAAAAGAACATGCAAAGATGTGAGTCCCACTGCTCAGAGCACACTCATGCATCTGAATGTGCTGGCCACACCGTGAGTTGTGTGCTCAGCAGCCAGCCCAAGGAGATGCATTCTGGCTTGTGTTGGCCTGTTGAACAATACGGCAGCTCAGCCCAGAGTGCAGCCTAGCTCCCTGTGTCAGGCAGAGGCACCAGGGAGAGGATCTGCTGAGAACGTGTTCTCTGGGGCCCACCAGTCCTTTGCACACTCCCACTGCCATCACAAAGCCAAATGTGAAGGGAGCAGCTGTGAGTGCTGCTGGCTGGGTGAGCAGCACCTGGGTGGAGCCGCGTACCTGCGAGTTCTTGAACTCCAAGAAGAGGGAGAAGAGCACATGCAGAGGGTGGATCCGGCTCTTGTACACGGGGATGTCCAGAATGGCTGCAGGTGAGATCAGAGCGTGTGAGGGCACCTGGTCTGCCCTGCCCCACACACAGCACTGGCAGGAGGGGCTGAGCTCCCACTGCCCACCATCACCTGGAGCTGCACGCACCAAAGACTGCAGACCCCTGCAGCACAAGAGCCCACCTCCCACTGAAGCAGCAGGGGCTGAGCCTGCAGCTAAGGCTCCCTCACTTTCAGTGAGAGTGCCAGGCCCGTGTCACACTGTGTCACAGCACACCTCCCCAGCTCGGTCACACTGTGTCACAGCACAGCCTCCCTCCCCAGCTCAGTCACACTGTGTCACAGCACACCTCCCCAGCTCGGTCACACTGTGTCACAGCCTCCTTCCCCAGCTCGGCCAGCCCAAGGAGATGCATTCTGGCTTGTGTTGGCCTGTTGAACAATACGGCAGCTCAGCCCAGAGTGCAGCCTAGCTCCCTGTGTCAGGCAGAGGCACCAGGGAGAGGATCTGCTGAGAACGTGTTCTCTGGGGCCCACCAGTCCTTTGCACACTCCCACTGCCATCACAAAGCCAAATGTGAAGGGAGCAGCTGTGAGTGCTGCTGGCTGGGTGAGCAGCACCTGGGTGGAGCCGCGTACCTGCGAGTTCTTGAACTCCAAGAAGAGGGAGAAGAGCACATGCAGAGGGTGGATCCGGCTCTTGTACACGGGGATGTCCAGAATGGCTGCAGGTGAGATCAGAGCGTGTGAGGGCACCTGGTCTGCCCTGCCCCACACACAGCACTGGCAGGAGGGGCTGAGCTCCCACCACCTGGGGCTGCATGCACCAAAGACTGCAGACCCCTGCAGCACAAGAGCCCACCTCCCACTGAAGCAGCAGGGGCTGAGCCTGCAGCTAAGGCTCCCTCACTTTCAGTGAGAGTGCCAGGCCCGTGTCACACTGTGTCACAGCACACCTCCCCAGCTCGGTCACACTGTGTCACAGCCTCCCTCCCCAGCTCAGTCACACTGTGTCACAGCACACCTCCCCAGCTCGGTCACACTGTGTCACAGCACCCCTCCCCAGCTCACCGCAGATCATGTCGATGTACTCGGCAAGGTCACAGCTCATCTCTGCACTCGGAAGACCCACCTGTAACACACAGGGCTGTCAGATCTGCTCCTGCACCAGCCTGGCAGCAAACAGAGGCCACTGGGGCAGCAGCTGGGAATTCCAGTGCTGGGCTGCTCCCCAGCCTCTGCCAAGGCGGAGTTGTGAGGAGGAACAAGCCCCAGAGGACTGGGCTGTGGGATGGAGCAGGCAGCCAGCTTTCATGGGAGGTGGTTTCTAAGACCAAGTGCTGAGCTGACTACTGGTCACCCAGTAAATACCTTTCCCAGGAGCTCCTCGAATTCTGGTGACCACTCCTGCATCAGGGTCTCGATGTCAGGCATTGGCCTGCCAGGGAAGATTGGAACATCAGCTTCAGGATCACACACAACCTTCCCCTGCCAACATCAGGGCTCACCTGGAGTAATGGACTGTGGCAGGAGGCTTGCAGCGATGCAGTTCACTAATACTTTCAATCCAGCTCTCAATGGCTTTAGGGTTCTGTTCTGCATTCTCCAAACTCTTCACTTTTATTTGCTGCTAAAAACACAAATATAAACCTGGAAGTGTTTCATGGTGTTTTTTGGGAAAGCTGCATTCACTTCTGGTGAACCTGGCCTTCTCTCTTTCCCAGCTGCAGTTTACCAATGGATTTCTGCAGGCAGAATGCCAACTAAAATGGGTATGAGCAATCAAAAGGAAATAAAGCAGCACCTGAAGAACAGACCCAGAGTTCATATCAAGACTTGGCTGAAGCAAGGGTCAGATCCACTGCAGTTTAAAACTATGGATTAAAGCAAAAGGTCTGGTTTTGCTGCTTTTAAAGCCAACTTCTCAGCTGTAAGAGTGAAATGCCAAGGTTTTACTCCAGGAAATGTGCAGCCAGTGTGACCTCCCTGCCCGACTCACTGTGATGTTGTGCTGCTTGGAGTTCTCTGTCAGCCAAAGGGAGAGCACGGTGGGATCTGACTGCTTGGTTGAGGGCTCATCCAGGACCAGCAGGCCAAGGTTGTCAGGCTTGCCATCGGGACGAGGAACCTGCAGGAAAACAGAGCCTGTTCTCCGTGGGTCCAGGGCAGGTGCTTCCTGTGGGCTCCCTCACATGTGCATTCTAAGTACAGCGCTGCCTGAAAAGCACACGGTGATGCTGAAGGAAAACCCAGGCTTTCCCCCAGGTTACCCAGGTGCTGTCTGGGAGGTGACCAAGCCACCAGTGCAGTTTGTCAGATCCCCAGGCTGCACAGCCTGCCTGCCTACGTGCTCTGAGTTCTGTTTTGCTTTGTGGGCAGGAAGGAGAGAGGAGCCTGAAGAAACTGTACCTTTAGGAATGCATCAATGTCTCCAACAGCAGGAATAAAGTCTGGAATAAAAGGCTGCAGCTTGTGCTCAATCTCTATTGTTTTGGGAGTGTACCTGGAAAAAAAACACCACCACAGCATAGGTGACTAGAAACTGTGCTGCAATAATTGACACAAAGGAGAGCCAAGAGCAGGCTGAAACCCTTCCACTCACCTGTTGATGTATTCAAAGAGATCTTTGATTTCAGAAGACACTTGCAGGTAGTCAAAATCTGCTGGATTGAAGTCACTAAAAGAAGGAAGAGAGTAGAGGGAGATTAGCATGTGGCAAATTCTGTACAAGAGAAACCAGACCCCGGTTGGGGCAGGCAAACGTGGGAAGCTGAACCACCAGGCAGTAAGTCCTCTCTGGAAAGCACTTCTAGCACAGGGAAAGCATTATTGGGCCTCATTTTGCTTTGGATCTGCTGGCCAAGAAAAGCACCTGAGTGATGGACATCTGAGATCACACAGTCCCACACAGGGCTGTGAAAAGGGGGCCAAGTGCTCTGCACAAAGGCAGCAATAGGACAGCAATTAGGGGGTCAGCAGTAGCTTTGAAGCTCTAAACGATGGAAAAGGAGAAGAATGATGAGGATCTGAGTGACATGTTTGAGGTGGTCCTTCCCTTTTCTGGACTTCTCCTGCCTGCCCGGCCTGGCTTACACCTTGGATCATTCCAGCTGTGCCTCTCCTGGGCACAGCAAACAAGCCCGGCACCGGTTCAGAGCAGGAGAACCACAACCCTGAAGCATCGGGGACGAGGAGCTGCCTGTCCCGACGCCCACCGAACACCGCTCACCCCTCCAGCGCGGCCCCGTGCTCCTCCGAGTCCTCCTCCGAGTCGCTCTCCGAGGAATCTTCCTCCGAGTCCTCATCGTCCTCGTCGTCCTCCTCGCTGAAGGCGGCCGGGCCGGGGAGCCGTGCCTCGTCCTGGGCGAGAGCGCTGTCTCAGGGCTGTCCCGCGCTCAGTGTGTTCCCCCGTGTCCCGCTGTGTCCCGTGTCCCACCTGGGCCCGCCCCGCTCCCCGCCGTAGCCCCGTGTCCCGGTGTGTCCCGTGTCCCGGTGTGTCCCGTGTCCCGTTGTGTCCCGTGTCCCGGTGGCGCGGCGCCGCCATCTTGCGGGGCGGCCCGGGCAGCGGAGGGAGCGGAGGGAGCGCAGGGCCCGAGCGCGGATCCCGCCGCCGCTGCCGCTGCTATGGTAAGGGGAGGGCCCGTCCGCCGCGGGCAGCGCGGGGCTCGGGACAGCCCCCGGGGCAGCCCCCGCGCTCGGCGCGGCCGCCCGGCCTGTGCGCAGGCCGGCGCTGGAGCCCGCGGCCTGGTGGGACGGAGCGCGGCGCTGCCGCCCCGGGCCGGGCCGGGCCCCTGGGGGCGGCGGGGACGCGGCACTTCTCTCTGGTGGCTCGGAGCCTCACGCTGCTCCGGTGCGCGTTCGGGCTGCAGGGAGCGAGCGGGCTGGCGGTGCCCCGCTGCTCCCCCGTGGCACCCTGTGTCTCAGCGCCGTCCGGCTCCCTGTGTCCGTCACGGCGGCGTTTGGGATGGCACAGACCCGCACACAGCTCTGGCAGAGCTAAACCGTGCCCCAGGTGCGGCAGGGATCAGTGCTGCCACGTTTCAGGGTTTCTGATACTTTCTGTCAATAAGAGCAGTTGCGGATTTAAAAGATCCCAAGCGCGGAACAGAATTATCCTGACAAAGGGAATTAATATCTGTGAGAGAGAAGTACGGGGAGGAAGTCTGGGCAGACTGGGAGATGGAGAAAGTGCAGCTGGTGAGTGCCTTGCTGCCTGTGGCGTGATAATGCCTGCGAGCTGCCCAGGAGTCGGAGCAGGGCTTCCTTAACCTGTGTGTGGCTGCAGGCTGGGGCAGCCCGATGGAAAAGTCGATAACCCGGAGCCTCCCTAGCGCTCCCAGGGGTTGTGCACCTCGGTATGTGTGAAATCAGCAGTGATCATTTGCCTGACAGAGGCAGGGAGAGCTCTCAGGAGTATGTTGGGCCAGGATGTGAAACAGAGAGGGAGCAAAAGCAGAGATGTCTCTGCTCGTGACATAGTTAATTTCCTGCATTGGGGTCTCGCTTGAGGGAGGCTGTGCAGGTGAAGTGCGGTGGGGACAGAAGCTGTCCGCGGGCTCGGGGCCCTGCTGACGCGCTGCTCTGCTGCAGGTGCTGTTGGCAGCTGCCGTGTGCACGAAGGCAGGGAAGGCCATCGTGTCGCGGCAGTTCGTGGAGATGACGCGCACCCGCATCGAGGGGCTGCTGGCAGCCTTCCCCAAGCTGATGAACACGGGGAAGCAGCACACCTTCGTGGAGACGGAGAGCGTGCGCTACGTCTACCAGCCCATGGAGAAGCTCTACATGGTGCTGATTACCACCAAAAACAGCAACATCCTGGAAGACCTGGAAACACTCCGACTCTTCTCCAGAGTGGTAAGGACTCTGCACTCCGTGGCACAGCCCGGAACAGGGCTGTTGTGAGGGATCTGGTTCTCAGCTGGTGCAGGAGCACTGCTGCCTCCACTTGGCAGGTCTGTGTTCCAGAGCTTCCCGTCCTGACTGGGCAGAAAGCTCTGAGCTTCTCGTGGTAGTTTTTAACTCCACATAAAAAAAAATCATCAGTTGTACTTCACCTGGTGAGACCGAAGGGCTGACTGCAGTTTAGTTTAGTTCTTTGTAGTGTGTGGTTGTTACACTGCTATGCAGGGATCCTGAAGCAGCAAGTTTGTGTCTTCACACAGCCAAAGGATTTTCAGGAAATTCACTGGCCCCAGCATGCAGTTGGGTTCCTTTGAATTAGTGTTATGAGGAAGCTGAGAGGTTCTATATGGATTTTGATGTAGAAAAACTAACAGTGGCAAAACTTCATCTTGTTTATTGACAATGTAATTGTATGAAAAGCAGTGTAAAGCTGTGCTGGGCTTGGGTCTGGCACAGTTGTGACCCCTGGGATGGTAGAAAGAAAGTGTTTACATGGAACTGTTTTAAACTCCTTTAAAATGTTCTCCCTTTTCTAGATCCCTGAATATTGTCGAGCTCTGGAAGAGAATGAGATCTCAGAACACTGCTTCGACCTAATCTTTGCCTTTGATGAAATTGTTGCCCTGGGCTACCGTGAGAATGTAAATCTGGCACAAATTCGGACCTTCACCGAGATGGACTCACATGAGGAAAAGGTGTTTCGGGCAGTCCGAGAGGTGAGCAGGGACACCTGCAGTCCTGACACAGGGTCCCCTGTCTGAGAAACACCACTTTTGCTATACAATTGGGCAGGCCATGCAGTTATTTAGCTTTTCTGCGGGCTAAATGCTCACGTCTTGTTTCTTTTTTCTTGGGCAGCTGCCCTTGGTTCCTGTGCAGGGCAGGGCTGGGGTTGCAGAGCTGCAGCAGCCTCTCCTCTCTCCCCTCAGACCCAGGAGCGTGAGGCCAAAGCCGAGATGCGGCGCAAAGCGAAGGAGCTGCAGCAGGCCAGGCGGGATGCAGAGAGGCACGGCAAGAAGGCGCCGGGCTTCGGGGGCTTCGGCAGCTCGGCCGTGTCGGGGGGCGTGACAGCCATGATCACAGAGACCATCATCGAGACTGAGAAGCCCAAAGTGGCACCGGCTCCAGCCAGGTAGGGGGGCAGCAGGAGGCACACGTTGGAGTCAGTGCTGGCTCAAACCGCGTGCCCGGAGGGTCTAACGTGAGTTCCTCATCTGTGTGAGTATTGGGGACCATTTGTGCCACATTCCCCAGTAGCACCCTGTATCTCTTTGGATTCTTGGATGAACAGTGGGCTTTCGTTTTGTGTGGGAAAAAGAGGTCCCAGCTCCTGGTAATTCATGGAACTATATCTGAATCTAAATTATAACTTGGCACCCTGCACATAAGATGATCAGTTCCATGCACATTCTTCCCCAAAAAGGCTGCTGAGTTGAACGCTCTGTTGTTGGGATGGTCAAGTTGCAGTATTTGAAGGTAACTGGGAAGGGAGAACCCATTGCTATCAGCTCACTTGGAGATTATTACACATTTTATTTAGGCCTTCAGGTCCCAGTAAAGCCTTGAAACTCGGCGCTAAAGGGAAGGAGGTGGACAACTTCGTGGACAAGCTGAAATCGGAAGGAGAAAATATCATGACTTCTGTAGGCAAACGCTCTGCAGAAGCAGCCAAAGTTCTCACTTCTCCCATTAACATGGAGAGGTGAGTGCTGCCCTTGCTTTGGAAGCAGTCTCCTCGCGGCTCTCCCTGCATGTGGCCTTGGGAGAGAACTTCCCCACTCTTCTTTGGCTTTTTCCTGTATTTTCTTACCTTGTAATTATAACACTGGGCCAAAATCTGGGAAAGCATGTCAGCAAAAAAGCAGATAGTTAAGAGGACGCATAACCAAACTAGCTAAAATGGGCTGTCCATCCATTGTTGAGCTGAGGTTGGGAATTTTCCTGTGCTTTTTTCCCTGCACCATTTTCCCTGTTTCCCAGCCTTGTTGCTGCTCAGGATGGAGGCGTTCATGGTTCATTTTACACACAGCAATTGAGAACTTTTTAATACCCTGAGCCATGCACTGCAGCCTGTCAGAGGGGATTTGAGTGACCAGCTTGTCAAGATGCTGCATCCGTGCCATTTAACTGGGCTCCCATCCCCTGCAGACCCATATGCATGGATCCTGCTGCCCCTGAGTTCACTGTCAGAGCAGTATTAGCCCCCACTGTCATGCTGTTTGGGAACCCCTGCTCAGTACACACAGCCTGTCCTTACTGAGCAGTGATCTCTGTTGTCTGGGAGATGCCAAGAGTGCAGGACTTGAGGTTTTTCCTCTGTCTGTCTAGCGTGCACATGAAAATAGAGGAGAAAATCTCCCTAACTTGTGGCCGTGACGGAGGGTTGCAGAACATGGAGCTTCATGGCATGATCATGCTGCACATCTCTGATGAAAAGTTTGCACGGATTCGCCTGCATGTAGAAAATGAAGACAAGAGGGGAGTGCAGCTACAGGTAAAGCCTGTTTGGAGTCTCATGCTGTTGAACATGTTTTTGCTGCTTTACAGGGTAAAAACAATGGAAATACTCAAGTATGTTTTTGTCCTGTGTTCTCATTTAAGCATTCTCAGCAAATGCATTGGAAATGGGAGTAGTCAGTGCAGGTATTAGCAGAAGTGCAGGGCCAGTCATGCTCAAGGGAGTAAAGTTCACTGGAGAAATGCAGTCTTGGTTGCTGTCCTGCCCTCAGAGCCTTATCTGCCCAGCAGTGCACCTTGGCATGCCAGATGACCTCACTTGGACTTTGCAGCAGCCTGGTGTGTTGCTCAGTGCCTGTTGTGTGGTGTCAGCTGCAGCTGTGGAGTGGAAATGAGATAACAAACTTCCTGTGCCAATGGGGAATTAATTTATTCTCTTGGAAGTTGTTTCTGTCTGAGGTTGTTTGTCCTGTCGCTGCTGTACCTGGGATGCTTGCTGAAGCACTTGATGGCACTCAGCAGTTGCAGCCCAGAAGGTTCTTGGCAGATTGATCCTTCCCTTTCTCCCTCTCATGTGACCTTAGGGATCCCTGGAGGTGGAGCTGCTTTGACACACTCTGGCTCACCCTTCGTGAGGGACTTGTCTGCACATCATGGCTGTTTGCAAGCCCACTTCCTTCCAGTGCAGCCCATGAGTGGGTTGCTGACAGCACTGCCACAGGCGGTGCCTCAGGTGCAAGATGAGACCAAACCCTTTGCTGACCCCTGTCTTTCTAGTGCAGCTTGAACAGGGACTTGCAAAAATCCTCTGCTTCTAAAAAACTGCTCACACTTGAGGTTGTGAAGAGAGTTTGGCCACTGACACATACATGCATTAAGGTTGCTGAGGGGAGAGAGTAGTGTTATGTTGTCAGGCTGTTTTTCCCAACAGCGTTAGACTGATTTTTCTTGAAGTGTCTGCTGTAAGTGCTCAGGCTCATCTTTGACTTACAGTTGTTCTGTAGATAGCAGCCTGCATTGCTTGGGTATCTGGTGCAGGTGCTTGTGAGAAAGACAGACAGTGGTGGGGATCCTTCTTGTCAGATTAGCATTTTTAGAAGGAATTCCAGGTTGATAAGCAATTGTGCTTCAGATGGGCTTCTGAGCCAGGAGGAAACCTGATGTGTGTTTTGTCAAAGCAAGCAC